CAAAACCGATTTTAAATAGTTTAAGAAACAAATAGAAATTAATAATATAGTTATTAAGTGATTATGTATAAAACATGTATAATCTTCATTATTAATTTACAAGCCATATGTTAGTGTATCTGATTAGAGATTGTCGTTACGATAACAAAAAGATCACGGGAGCATTAAGAAACTGGCGTGACGATAGCGGGCCGCTAGATGGGATATTAAAATGAGTATAAAAGGAGGGCCATTTATATGCAAAAATCAGTTACCAGCCGATCTCCGACAGAAACAGTTACCAGCCCATCTCCGACAGAAATAGTTACCAGCCGATATCCAAGGCAGAAACAATTACTAACAGACCTCGGAAATAGTACAGTTACCAGGGAACCTTCAAGAAAGAACAGTGAACAGTTATCAGCGGATCTCCGAGATAGAAACATAGTGAAGTTACCAGTTACCAGTGAATCAGCTACCAGTGAACCAGTTACTAATGAAACAGTTGTCAGTTACTAGTTCCCAGTTACTGTGAAACCTTTCTACAGATGCCGAAATCCATCGCATTGAAACAGCCGTTCTACCGCCCNAGTTACCAGGGAACCTTCAAGAAAGAACAGTGAACAGTTATCAGCGGATCTCCGAGATAGAAACATAGTGAAGTTACCAGTTACCAGTGAATCAGCTACCAGTGAACCAGTTACTAATGAAACAGTTGTCAGTTACTAGTTCCCAGTTACTGTGAAACCTTTCTACAGATGCCGAAATCCATCGCATTGAAACAGCCGTTCTACCGCCCAAAAACAGACAGTAGAAATTTTCTACACGATTCGGAAATAGTCATACAGACCGGGTCGTGTACAATGCTGCTTTTGTATATAAACCGAAATTCTAGAAATATAAATTCTAGAAAATAGAAATATTGAAAGACTGAAATACGACAACTATCCAATTTACAAGAAAAAGTGTCATTCAAAAATGATAACTTACATTCTCACTGACAACACTCGGATAATAATTAATAGAACAATTCCAGGATATTTTAAAAGTGGACATATCCGACTGAGTTTTGATGTCCCTTTTCCAAACGTCAACACAGCAACACCATCATAATTAGAAGAAGAATAAAGTGACAAGACTTTATTTCATCCCATCTCATTTTTTTTTATTTAATTTCATCCTAATTGTCAATCAAACCAATCAAGCTTAAAATTAATCCACTTCATCTCATTACGCTTAATCATGTTTCATACTATATATAACAGGATATAATGAGAAAATGTAAGCCTTGGCTTAAAGGTATGGTTACCAGGCCATTTAATGGCCTTCAAATAAAAATGATCTATGGGTCATAAAATTACGAACTAGCGAATCACATTGTCGTATTTATTACGACAGATATCCCCGCCTTTGTCCGGATCATTCTGCAAGGACAAAAGTCTAGATGTTAGTATATAGCTTCATTATCGTTTTCCAAAATTTAATGCAAATTTAAGTAATTTTGTGTGATTTGATAACAAAGACACAAACTTTCATATTTATAATATTAGTATAAACTAGATGATGACCGAGCTTTGCTCGTTTTTTTTTTTTTTTATAACGCCATCTTTTTGTGTCCTTAAAGCGGTTAGTTGCCCTCAATTAAGAAAAATAATATGTATTATTATTCGCCAAGAAGTGTCGGGAAGAGTTGATTATTGAAAACACGAATAAAACAACATTGCCTGAAAATGAATCGTAGGTAGATCGATTTATCGCCCCCGAAATCCCCTGCATACTAAATTTTATGAAAATCGTTGGAGCCGTTTCCGAGATTCAGGTTATATATATTATATATACCAATTCTTGTATTTATATATATACAAGAATTGCTCGTTCAAAGGTATAAGATAACATCATACGCATTTTTACATGCCATCATGTTTAACATACCACGCATGTGTCGACATGCTTTGCTATGAGGCGGTTTTTTGTTATGCAAATTAATATAGAAAATAAATTACATGGTATCTAAATAATATTTTATTAAACTTTTCATTTGTATATGATAGAACCTACGTATTATAAATGAATAAAAGTGTTTTTATTATTTACTAAACTCAATACGTATTATGTTTTGTCTTGAAATCGAAATAAATTACTTTTACATATTTACTCGCTGAATAATTCTGTATTAACCTTTTGTTATAAGGTTAAATAATATGGTATAAAGTAAAATGAATGAACAAACCTATATAGTGTAAAACTGTTGCCGGAGTCCTTTGGCAACAACTCAAGAATACCGCCACCTGATCCAAGACATAAGACTAAAATTGCAATTGTATTTTTATGGCGGACTTTTTTACGTTTTAAACTGGAACGCATGACTGCTTCGCGGTAAAAAATGGTTGGATGGTGGTACCAATATGCAATAACAATACGCCTCACCACCAGTAAATGCCCGAAGGCGATCGAAATCCACCAGTTTAAGGGCGTCACACACGGCGAAGATACTAATATAATGTAATATTATTTTATCTTAACATACAATATCGCTCACTATACATTCTGAAGATTATGAAGATACTGTAATATGAAAATATATAAAAATAAAAATGTGGTGTCGTGGGACACCAGGTAGGAACGAAGTTCCTTCGGCTAATGTAGAATCGACACAATTTGCAAAAAAAAAATCGTGCTCAATTTTATGTTGGTTTTCTTGATTTTTCTCTTAAATTTTGCTGATTTGTTTTTATTTAAGTACAGGAAAGTATTTAGGAAAGTCAGTATTTTAGGAAATAATAAATTACGTAAATTAAAATTAAAATCGTAATTCAAATTATCAATTAAAATAACAAAATATGTCTCTTTATTTTTGTTTGACAACATAAAATTACATAGAAATAGAAATAATTACAAAATAGAGCGAGAAGAGATGAGAGAACGAAAAGAAAGAGGGAGAAAGAGAAAGGTATTATACACTACTCGCTTGTGTATACGACTGTCGCGCCTGCGCACGTCTCATTTAACGGTTTTATTCCACGCACTTTTTTCCACTGATTTTTTCTTACGGTTTTACTATCACATTTTTTTCAGTTCGGTCGCGCAGCAAAATCTCTATCCCCTCCAAGCCTGCCGTAAGGAACTTCGTTCCAATAATATATTATCTTAACCATGTATGATAATTCATAAAAAATGTAGCGAGCGATATTGTATGTTAAGGTAAAATATTATAGTATCTTCACTGTGTGTGACGCCCTTAACACTCATAGAAGGCTGCTTCCCGATCACCGATGCATCCCCTAGTCGCTTTCCACAACATGGGAAGAAATGAAATGCTAATATTCCACACCACAGCAAAATCATATCAAGAGGTGAAAAGCTATTTAGCTTAAGCGACATTTCGCTGTCTTTGTAAAGAAAGGTCCGGTTTATTAGTTATCAGCATCAACAGTTCGATGTTTTTAATTGAACTTCAATTAAATTTACTCCATTCAAATATGTAGCTGAAGGAATTTTTGTTATGATATTTTTTTAAAATTTAAACTTTGAATGGCTCTCCAGTGTGCTGCCAGTAGTGCGAGTTTTTGACGTGACAACGTCTTATAATTCGATGGCGCCGGCTGCACGCACGAAAAAACATGACTCATGCGGCGTTACCTCGCTTTGAGGCGATGTGATGATGTGTTTTGAACCCGCAAAATTATAATTTGCGTAATTACTGGTGGTAGGACCTCTTGTGAGTCCGCACGGGTAGGTACCACCACCCTGCCTATTTCTGCCGTGAAGCAGTAATGCGTTTCGGTTTGAAGGGTGGGGCAGCCGTTGTAACTATAATTGAGACCTTAGAACTTATATCTCAAGGTGGGTGGCGCATTTACGTTGTAGATGTCTATGGNAAACTGGAATCCAAATAAATACCCAAATCACGAACAACTGTGGTGCGTACCAAAGTTTGACCATTAATAGAATAGTCATACAAGATATTCGATCTTCCACGTGAGAATGTTATAATAGTACACTTATTAGTATTCACTGTGAGTAAGTTATTTTGACAGTAAACAAATAAGTTGTTCAAATCATCCTGTAATTCCAAACTAACAAGATACTAATATAATATAATATTATATATATCTGAAGATTATGAAGATACTGTAATATGAAAATATATAATATATTATCTTAACCATGTGTGATAATTCATAAAAAATGTATAGCGTGCGATATTGTATGTTAAGGTAAAATATTATAGTATCTTCACTGTGTGTGACGCCCTTAACACTCATAGAAGGCTGCTTCCCGATCACGGATGCATCCCCTAGTCGCTTTCCACAACATGGGAAGAAATGAAATGCTAATATTCCACACAACAGCAAAATCATATCAAGAGGTGAAAAGCTATTTAGCTTAAGCGACATTTCGCTTTCTTTGTAATGAAAGGTGCTTTTTATTAGGTATCAGCATCAACAGTTCGATGTTTTTAATTGAACTTCAATTAAGCTTACTCCGTTCAAATATGTAGCTGAAGGAATTTTTGTTATGATATTTTTTTCAAATTTAAACTTTGAATGGCTCTCCAGTGTGCTGCCAGTAGTGCGAGTTTTTGACGTGACAACGTCTTATAATTCGATGGAGCCGGCTGCACGCACGAAAAAACATGACTCATGCGGCGTTACCTCGCTTTGAGGCGATGTGAGCGATGCATCCGCGTGGACAGCTGCTATACATTAATACATTTACATGCTTTCGTCAAGTATGAAGTTTAGTGAAAAGTGAATGTGGTGTCAATTGTTTATAGCAACGATAATTGAAAAATGAAACCATTCCATCAGTATTTTCATATGACGTTGTCACGTTCAACTATCGTCAGTAAACCGACTTTACAGACAACCGATTTTTTTTAAAGTTCTCGATACCGTAAAAGTTAGCTCATATTTGTATGGAATGGGATCGTTTGCCTACGTTTGCCGCTAGGGGCGCTGTTCCAACTGCATACAAAATTAGGCTAACTTTTACGCTATCGAGAACGTTAAAATACTCGCACTAAGCACAGTGTATAGTTGCAAAAATTTTGCATAAACCAAATAACCTTACACCCCTCGATATTTATGCTCTTAATTACAACACATTCTGATTAATTCTAAATTAGAAGTTATATTGCTCCAAAGCTCGAAGTATGTGCGGGAAAATGTATTTATCCATATTTTTGGCCCATATAAAATCTAAATGGTTGAATTCGTCGCGTTCGATGATGCGAAATTCAACAACGTTAGAGAACTCATTCCGTAGTTCTTCGCCATCTTCCACTGTTGACAACCTATCGTTTTTCGATACGTACAGAACAATTTTCATCTTGACCTTATCCAAATCATATTTCGATGGCGATGTCGCGTTGTAGACCTCAAGGTTCCTCTCCGGCCCGTAATCGAATCGATTGAAACCGCGCCTCAATTGGAGTAAATGCTGGACATTCTTTTTCGAAATGCTATTCGGTATGTAATGCTTTAATTTATAATAGAATTTCGGTTCGCATTCGTCCTCATCGTAACCAACCAATTCGAATAAGAACTGAGAACAGATCTTGTAGCCGGTCAACGGACTCCAGCAAATCGCGTCGATCATAGCTCGTTCTCCTGATCGTGGACCAAAAATTTCTTCCTTGCCCATAGCATTGATAATGTTACTCAGACGTGATTCGTTTTCGAACAGCCTGGTCACTGGATTTTTGATGTGATAAAAGTGTGCTATCGGCGCAAGGGAAATTAGTACCTTAATTTTCTCGTTGTATTCTGGCTTGATAGATCCCATTACGTAGAAGACCGTTCCTCCTTGCGAGTATCCTATCGTCTGTAACTTGGCTTGTCCGGTCTTCTCCAAGATGAAGTCTATGAACGCGGGCATGTCGTAGTAACCGATTTCTTCGAAGCTGTAATCCCAGAACTTGTCGTCGCGGTCTGGATCTACAGTGACATGTTTCCTGCTGTATTTAGTTCCTCTATAGTTGCAGACCCACACGTCGTAGCCAGCCTCAGCTAGAGCGTAAGCCAGCGACTTCTTACCCCTTAAGATGAACGAATCCCCAGAACCAAAACAGCCGTGCACAAGCAATACCGGTCGATTGACGTCACCGGGAATACGGAAGAGAGTTAAAATGTAACCATCCTCCGTTACCACTTGATACTCTTCGCATTCCTTACCGTATTTAATGACCAGGTCCTTGAAGTTGGAATCCTCGTTTTCGTTTACATCTAGATTAAATAGATATTCTAGGATGGACACTGCTGATGTCAAGTGTAAGCCGATCGATAATATCATGAAGAACGTCCTAAGGCCAATTTTAACCATGATTAATTCTTAAGATTAGAACGCACTGATGTTATTTCATTATTTTAATATCCACTCTGCTATGTAGCAAAACAATTCTTGTATATCTTTGGTACACTAGATAGGCACGTTGTTTAATGCTGTTTAATAACTTTTAACGATCCATATGAGGCCTGTTAAACTTGGCTACTGGCACTATCTCGTAAGAAAACCGTTACTCGCGTTCTAAAACAACAAAAAATATATATTTTAGAATTCTCGAGCAAATTATTATGTTTGCACAGGTTGCTGTGTGTGTATCTTCGTGTGACCAACCTTTTGTTCTGGTTAACTGTTTAACATTGAACATCGTATCGTGCGTTTTATGGCTTCTAAACAGTGATGCCAATATTACCTTAATTATGTAATATAAACCTTAATTAAGTGGAATGAGCGTGTATTTTAGAGTAGAGTATACTTTATTGAACATGAACATTACCAACATAATAATAGAAAGAGACAAAGCGATTCGAAACAACCGCTGAATAAAATAAGAAAAATTTTAAGTATAATAATATGCTTTGATTTTCGCGAGATTACTTTTACGATTTAATCTCTTTTTAAATTTTTCGGTTTTTTTTTTGTTATCGACGGGTGAGATACTGTTTGATTATGTTGGCGACATTTTTGAAATTTTACATGAGAGCTATTTAAAAATTAAAATTTAGAAAAAATATCATAACAATAAACTTCTTTAGCTATTTGAATGGGGTAAACTTAATTGAAGTTCAGCTGAAAAACATCATGGTAAACAGTCGATGTCGCCCAAAACACTTCATTACGGATCCTCCCGATCCATTAACGGTGCTTTTAGGTACCACAAGCACCGGTCACCGTCCCCGTCGAACCCGTCGGTTGCGACAAAGGGCTCGACAAACGAATTAACCCACAGACACAGCCCACTGAGTTTCTCGCCAGATCTTCTCAGTGGATCGCGCTTCCGATCCGGTGGTGGATTCTGCGAAGCACTGCGCTTGCTAGGGTCAGTGTTAGCATTACTCCGGTTTGAGCCCCGTGAGTTCATCTACTAGCTAAGGTTAGGCTGAAATAGCCGCTCAAGGCTATCAGCTTAGGTAGAAAAAAAAAGAGATGGCGATTTTTATTGCGTGATGTTTTACCTTCATAAGTGGATGTCGTTCGTTAGTTAGCACGTGCTAGGAACGTGCTCGTACGTACTCGAACGAACATTATCATGTCCTTCTCCCAGTCACGTGGGGTCGGCGCAACATGTTTTCTCCTTCCATACTCCTCTGTCATATACCATTTTCTCACTCCTCTCTTACACATATCGTCTTTCACGCAATCTATCCATTTCTTAGACGATTATCGTGGTATGGACATGTGATGCGTAGAGAGAAGATGCATGTGACTAGGAGATTAATGGAAATGGTAGTGCGAGGTAGAGGGGGAAGAGGTCGACCGAAGAAGACATGGATGGAGTGTGTGAATGACGATATGAGAGAGAGAGGAGTGAGTGTTGAGATGACGGCTGATAGAAGAGAATGGAAAAGAAAAATTAGCTGTGCCGACCCCACCTAGTGGGATACGGTGGAGAAAAAGAAGAAGACGCAATCTATCCATTTCTTCTTAGGTCCACGTCTACCTCTATATCCTTCCACATACATAGTTAGCACTCTCTTACCAACCTCATTTTTATTTCGGCTCATCACATGTCCATACCATCCCAAACTCAAGCGTACTCGAACGAACGCCTAAAGAAAGAATTATAGTCGCATGCGAGGAGCTGTGAATCCAGCTGTGAGTACAATGGTAGCCTTTTCCTCAGATCACGACGGTATTTAGACGTGCCCTGTGAAAGTTCTCAAAACCGCTCACACATTCACTTTGGAGTCTTACAAGCCCATTGCTTACTTCGGTAGTGCCCATTGCTTACGTCGGTACTGCCCATTATCTACTTCGGTACTGCCCATTGTTGTACTACGGTACTGCCCGCTGTCTACATTCCGGGACAGCGACTGTTACAATAAAAGTCAGCTTTTAGGGTGACAAGAATACTTTATTTATTTGTTTGCTAATTACACTTTATCTATTTTAATACATTGCCGGATTTAATGGCAAAGCATTCTCTATCACTCACCAAAGCTTATACAGGGGAAATAATGGTAGGTGCATTGAATTCTACGTGCATTGCATACGATATAATAAAAAACTTATTCTAGATATATTAATTATAACAAATATGGTTCATGCAAATCGATTCTTAAAAAAACTTACATTACTGATACCGCTCTAGTAATTTCAAAATAACCGGATGTAAGATCAAATACATATCTTCGCCCCACACGAAGTCGTAATGATTCATTGGGCTCCGTTCAACAAACTCATATACGACAACATTAGGCAGTGAATTATTTAACATCACGTTATCTTCGATTGGCGACAGCTTGTCGTTATTGGCCATGAGAATTGCTACGCTGCAGTTCACTTTGTCCAGATCGTAAGCCGGTGGAAGAGTGTTGCCGTATCTAGCGATGTTCGTCGCCGAACCGTAATCGTATTGGGCGAACCTCCTGCTGTTACTGTTTTGGGCAACGTGCAGGCTGTTCTTAACTGAAGTGCTCACCGGGTAGTAATTTATGACCGTGCGAATGAATCCTCCTTTGAACGTGTCGTCGCTTTGTCCCGCCGTGCTCAGCAGTATGGCTTCGCACAATTCACCACCGAACGGTCGGAGACTGCAAAGCAATTCTACGAAGAGTCTCGTCGTTCTATCAAACAGCTCGTACTGGTTTAATGCCTTGAATATTACCTCCAAAACGGGCGCGATTAGAATCAATAATCTAACTGGAGGTCGTATGTTTTGAGCGTATGATAAAGGCCCTAGTGTTATTAGGGGTCGAATCTTTTCATTGTACTCGGGGTAAGTGGATAAGAGCACGAAGAATACGGCGCTTCCTTGGGAATGACTTATGACACTCAGTCGATTTTGTTGGGTCTTGTTCAGTATGTAATCGATTTGGGCGGGCAGATCGTACACGCCGACTTCGTGGTACGAAAAATTCCAGTAGGCCGCGACGTCTATATCTGCGTTCAGCGTCACGTGGTCGCGGGAGTATTCATTCCCCCTCATGTTCCCGGCCCACACGTCATACCCGGCTTTGACCACGGATACCAACATAGATGTGTTCCCTCGGACTATGAACGTACGTGAGGAATCTCCGAATCCGTGCATAAAAAAAATCGGCCTGGTTTTGTTGCCCGGTATATTGAACAGGGTGAGTATGTAACCGTCTTTTGTTGTGATCCTGTGAGCAACGCAATCGTATCCGAGAGTTTCAGCTATTGATGAAAAGCTTGGTACGGTCCCGGACGAGTCTTCCGTGGCTACACCGCGCTTAAATGTTAAGAATACGAGAGCACTTATTAATTTTAATGTTTTGAACGACATTATTGTTGAATCTTGAACGGCTTAGTGAACATTTTAGTGTCGAATTGGCCATAATATATACGCATAAATATTATTATAGTCGCGAGGAGCTGGGAGATAAGATCCTGAATTTAAATTTTTTATCAGAATTGTCACAGTTTCGAAGACGACATTGTCTTATTATTTTCTGAACTAGTCGAGGGTCGCGATTTCACTTGCGCCTTTTAAAATATATTTTTTGTAATTCAAGTAAAGTCACCCATATTATATGTGAACTAACAAAAAATACAAATTCGAATAGGTATAGTTTATTCAAAATCGAAACAAGATAAAATTTTAGCAAATACAAAAACCGTAAAAACTACATAAACAGTAACTTTACTTTTTTTCCTACCTATTCTTACTAAAATAAGGGTTATTTTAGATTCGCCGAATTAGTAGGTGAGCTCACGGGGCTCAAACCTGACGATGCTACTAACGAACCCTAGCAAGAGCAGTGCTTTCCAGAATCTACCACCGGATCGGAAACGCGACCCACTGAGAAGATCCGACGAGAAACTCTGTGGCCTGTGTCTGTGGGTTAATTTACTCGTCGAGCCCTTCGTCGCTAGTGCTCGCGTAGTTCTACGCGATAACTTTACGCAAATCATTTGACGACCTTACAATCCTTGTTAGCAATATTCTAATCCCCAATACATACATAGGTAGGATACACAAAACGTTTTGCCCAAGTCACATTACAATAATACAAATTAAATAAATTTCAAATGCTTTTTCATTCGTTTAAATCATACATGAAAACATTCCGACAGTTAGTCTGATTGGATGCCTTCTATGAGCTACTTTAAAGCGATAAAACCTCTCATAAAATCTTTTAATTCTGAAATAATAATGACCCTCTACTGTATCTCTGTTTTCCAGTACTGTTGCATTGAACGTATCTCTCTCTGTCGGGCGTCTCCACATTGTAATTCTTTCCTCAACTGGTATCAAGCAAAATCTTCTTTCCTTACACTTATGATTGCAAATTAACTTGGTCTATTCAATGGCATATAGTAGGTACTCAATATGTAATACAATTCAAGTTGTCTGCCAGAGGCAAGATGAATGCATTGTAAGTATTACTGGTGGTAGGAACTCTTGTGAGTCTGCGCGGGTAGGTACCACCACCCTGCCTATTTCTGCCGTGAAGCAGTAATGCGTTTCGGCAGCCGTTGTAACTATAATTGAGACCTTAGAACTTATATCTCAAGGTGGGTGGTGCATTTACGTTGTAGATCTCTATGGGCTCCAGTAATCACTTAACATCAGGTGGACTGTGAGCTCGTCCATCCATCTAAGCAATAAAAATAAAAAAGCATTGTTGGTAGACTACTTATCACAGTGCTTGTGAATACTATAACACCTTTAGCTTCTGGGCGGGTTCGTCGTTACCATAATAGAAGTTAAGGTCCAGTTTTTAAACACACTTCTGACGATGGGCAGGTCTTTTGACCACAGTTTTCCATTCTTGCTTCCAATGTCCAGCTAGCTACTGATCGGCCAAGAAGTGATCGAGTTAATGTTAGTTTCCTAAGTGATAGTAAAATATTATTAATTGTAAGTCATACATTCCAATCAATCATTCATTTATTAGTTTATCGAAATATTGGCGTTTGGTTGTTAAACTAGGCGGGTGAGACTGTCAAAGTCGCATTAATCACAGACAAAATGACGGAAAATCGCCTTAGATGGTATGGCCATATCATGACCATGAAGTGAAAATCGCATTAAGCTTGCCAGAACAAAAGAGAGGCAGAGGCCGCCCCCAATCGACCTGGTCGTTAAACATCGAAAGACACCTTAAGAAAGCCCAATTGCCAAAACCGACAACCCAGGACAGATCAACCTGGCGCCGTAGAGTGAGGAGACCCGACCCTAGATAATGGGAACAGGGAAGAAAGAAGAAGAAGGTTGTTAAACTAGGCCTTTCCCAAAGTGGGCGATAACGCCCCCTTGTGGGCGCTGCAGGTCTAAAGGGGGGCGGTAAGACACACAGAAAAAAAATAGGGGCGTTGTGTAGAGGCTCTGGAGGCGATTTGTGATTTCATCTAGAAGGACTCTTAGACACCGTATGAGTTCTCGCTATAGTGGTTTTTAAGTAGGTTAAAAAAAGGGAGGCGCTAAAAAATAATTTATTCTCAAAGTGGGCAGTAGACAAAATGAGTTTGGGAACCCCTGAACTAGACATAACGGTCCAGCAGTCGAAATCTCCCAGAAGTGGACACAGCAGAAAGTTGACAATTATTTTGACGCTGTTCATGGTGACTAACCCTCTGGTTGCCTAAGCGCTCCTGTATGTCTGAATTCGCAAAGCCTCATAATTCCATAGAAGAAACCAGCGCCGTCCGCTAGGTCAATGTTCTTAATGAAAATCTATGGTTAAAAATGAGCTGACATCATTGTTATCCATTGTTAAATAGCTATTTATATGTATCAAATATTTTTATCAGTTCAATTAAAATTTGCCATGTTGTTTTAGAACGTTTCTTCTAATAATTGATTAAGGTAATTACTAACTTCAATTAATAAATAAAATAAATCATCCGGTCTTCTGTAATGCAAACCTGTTTCTTGTTATTCTCTAGTAATATCTACTAATTGTATGTATGTTAAAATTGAACATTTTTAGGATATTTTTTTCTGTCCTAGTCCATCCGTGGCCGGAAAAATAATAAAGTATGCGTATCGTCGAATGTAAAGAATAAAAATAATAAATACCAAAAATAGTCTGAAATCTGTCGTGTAAATCGAAAAAAAAACTAAGATTTCTCCATAATACATGTTTAGAAACGAGATAGCGGTACTAGTAATATTCCCAATCATTGTTGTAAACCTATGACGTGTTAGTAGTCTATGTAAAGGTCTATTTGAATTTTTAAACAAAACGTTCGATTTTACATCCGCTCAAAAAAAATATATCCTAAAAACTGCCAATCGAAACAAACCAAAAATCTTGATGTGTTCCGATCGACATTCGCGCGTACATATTGTATCTTGAAGTAGAGTAACGTCCACTAAGTTACCAAATGATAGCTTATTCAATAATTCCTGAAGGTTTATTATTTTCCATCGTTCGAATTGGATTTCGTGACTGCTCCATTAGAAAATAGTACCCACGATTCCGTGTGGCCCGTGTGTATAGCACGCCTTATCACCTGTAATATTCTTTCTGTCTTTCTGTCCTTATCCCACAGTTACTTTAGGTAGGATCTCTTGTGGGTCCGCACGGGTAGATACCACCATCCTGCCTATTTCTGCCGTGAAGCAGTAATGCGTTTCGGTTTGAAGGGTGGGGCATTGTAACTGTACCTTAGAACTTATATCTCAAGGTGGATGGCGCATTTACGTTGTAGATCCCTATGTACTTCATTAACCACTTAACACCAGGTGGGCTGTGAGCTCGTCCTCCCATCTAAGCAATAAAAAAAAACAGTACGTGGGGTTGTAGCAGCGCGTCCTCTTATCATGATTGCTGCAAAGGGCTTTAGCGTCAAATTTTCTTGGGTTATATCTATTTATTGTATGTATGTAGGTATTTTCTTAATGTGTTGTTAATAGCACACTGCAACATACCTGTTGTATCTTTATCTGTCCAGAATTTCGGGTAATTAAACGGTTTTCTGGATCGCTTTTAGCGATAAGACCGCCTATTGTACAAACATATCTGCTTGTTGACTGTTTTCTGATGTTAATTGTGTTTCGGTGCGCAATAAAGTATGTTCTATCTCTCTCTCTTTCTCTCTCTCTCTCTCCCCCAGTATCTCCATTCATCCATCATCTCCAACAACGGTATATCCATTGCAACGTGCTATAGGAACAAAAGACTTTTTTTGACTTGATGATAGAAAATACTTTTATATTTATTTTTTTGGTGTTTCTTCTACATCCTATTTTGGATATATGATTTGAATTTCAAATATCAAAAGATATAAATATCACATTTTATTCGTATTTCTATGTAGTTTCATACATTAGACTAAAGTAATTAATGAAAATAATGCTTTGTGTGATTGTATTCACGCCATGGCTAATTTACAGCTACTTCGCTACATACTATAGACCAGGGGTGGCCAGCTTGATTAGAACTAATATCTACTGTTTACTGACGTAACACTCTACAACCTACTAATGACATTGAAATTTAGTGAAACAATACAGTTCAGTATACAAATAAGTAGTATATTTTCTTTTATTAAAAAGATCGCGATAGAGTTGAAATCATTACATAGTATAAAACAAAGTCGCTTTCTCTGTCCCTATATCCCTATGTATGCATAAATCTTTAAAACTACGCAACGGATTTTGATGCGGTTTTTTTTAATAGATAGAGTGATTGAAGAGGAAGGTTTATATGTATAATAACATCCATTAAATAGTGGAGAAATCAATAATAAATTACAGTTTCCGAAGCGAAGCGAGGGCGGGTCGCTAGTACATTATATAATAAAAGAGAACTATTGTGTGGAAGAGAGGATAAATAATGTGACGTAATGGTCATTAACAAATGATACAAGATGAAGATGATGCGTGTAGCAATTGGTGATTACGTTGCGCAGTCTGTTCTATGTATTTATATTTTTTTGTTTTGCCACGATCGACCGGTCGATCGCGATCTGCCGGTAAGCCACCCCTGTTCTAAACAAACGTTAGACTAATCTGATATGCCCTAGACGAAGTTTGTTGAGAGCTCTATATATGTTTGGCACTTGAATAAGGATTACAGTAGAGGCTAGATTACATTGCCAGAGCTTCCGTAGGGCGATCGAGGCGTCTCTGGCGACGATGACGATGTCTCCGCCTACTCCTCCGCCCATGGACTCCGACCCTGAGCTGCAGGAGGCACTGGCTCTGTCTGCGAAGGAACAAGCCACAAGAGCTCAGCAATTGGAGGCAGAACAGCGGGCGCTCGATGAAGTTCTACGTCTCTCGCTAATAGACAAGTAACAAGACAACTGGTGAGTTCATTCTATTTACATTTTAATAATACGCTTTTATTAGCTTCAGGCTTATGTGTATGTTTGTAACGGAATCTTTGAACACGATTTTGACCCTCTTCAAAATGTCGGATTAACTCGAAATTTGGTGTACTTATTAAGGACCGATGACAATTCAATATTAAAAATTGAGAAAAAAATTGAAATTCAACTAAAAAATGAAAAATAAATAATAATTTAAATAATTTAACAAAATACGCTTTTATAGAAAATCCAACAAAAAATAGAAAATAAATTTTAATAAATTTGTATTAAAATAGTGTAAGAAAAAATGATTTTATTATAAAAAAGTGTAGGGTGCTTTCCAGGATGTTATCCAAATAACCTACTCATATCTGTTCATACAATATTTATAACTACTGATACCATGAACATCCTGAAAAGCACACCACGCTTTTTTTTTACAATAAAATCATTTTTTCTTACACTATTTTTAATTCAAATTTATTAAAATTTATTTTCTATTTTTTAGTCGGATTTTCTATAAAAGCGTATTTTGTTAGTTTTTTTAAACTATTATTTATTTACAACTAGCTGTGCCCGTCACTTCGTCCGCGTTCGATTTAACAAAACATTATTTTATTTGAAAATAATATCAGATTTTTTCTAAGATATAACGAGCCTAAGTTACTCCTTATTGAAGTCGTCGAGGCCTAAAGGATAAGACGTCCGGTGCATTCGTGTGTACCGGTGTTCGAATCCCGCAGGCGGGTACCAATTTTTCTAATGAAATACGTACTTAACAAATGTTCACGATTGACTTCCACGGTGAAGGAATAACATCGTGTAATAAAAATCAAACCCGCAAAATTATAATTTGCGTAATCACTGGTGGTAGGACCTCTTGTGAGTCCACACGGGTAGGTACCACCACCCCGCCTATTTCTGCCGTGAAGCAGTAATGCGTTTCGGTTTGAAGGGTGGGGTAGCCGTTGTAACTATACTGAGACCTTAGAACTTATATCTCAAGGTGGGTGGCGCATTTACATTGTAGATGTCTATGGGCTCCAGTAACCACTTAACACCAGGTGGTCTGTGAGCTCGTCCACCTATCTAAGCAATAAAAAAAAAAAATATTACATCAGCAACATGCCAATAAAAGTCCCGTCAAAATCGGTCCAGCCATTTCAGAGCTTAAGCGAGCGCCGCATTGATTCCTATCAATCGTGTCTAGAGAAGGCTATCCATTCCCTATTTTCTAAGGCAACCTAGACAAGACAGAACCAAGTTTGTCGTGGGTTATGATGTGGATTGGAGGACTAGTAGTGTGTGGTGGCTTTATGGCATAGACGTTCTAACGAGCTCATGGGTTCATTTGGTATTTCTATCGGAGCTCATAGGCAACACAGCCTGAATGTCCACCCACCTTGAGGCATAGACAGTCACCCTTGTCACTGGTGGTAGGACCTCTTGGGAGTCCGCACGGGTAGGTACCACCACCCCACCTATTTCCGCCGTGAAGCAGTAATGCGTTTCGGTTCGAAGGGTGGGGTAGCCGTTGTAACTATACTGAGACCTTAGAACTTATATCTCGAGGTGGGTGGCGCATTTACGTTGTAGGTGTCTATGGGCTCCACTAACCACTAGGTGGACTGTGAGCTCATCCATCCATCTAAGCAATAAAAAAAAAAGGTTCAAATCGGAAGGCATTAATAATCCCGGTAAAAATGGGAGGGCTTGTGATACCTACCCGTGCGAGATTACACTACGGTCTAGAACCAGTGAAAAACTAGCTAATATCAAGGAAATTGAATAAGTACGAACGACATTCGGAACGGCGGTCCACCGAGCAATATAGTATCCTCTCGATGGAAGATCTTCACTTTGTCGTCTGCTATAAATAAACTAGTTTATACGAAACGACATATCGCGGATTTGTCTCGAACGATCTATTCGTCGGTAGCTAGTACAGATTCATGGAAGCCCGCAGACACATGATTTACTTGCGTGACCCCTGACATGGGTGAATACTCACCGCCAAACTGACCTGACCTTCGACAGTCTTCCACCGCAATAAAGAAGGTTTAAAATAAGTAAATTTTTGGAAATTTTGTCTTTTTTTTTTTCAGAAAAGATCTCACCATCCGTGCGTCCAAACCAAATGAAGACTTATTCCTACTAAGTTTTATTGTTATATTACATAATAATATACGCTAAATTATTAGCATAATAGTAAAACTGTAATAATATAATATGATATAATCTAGTTTTTTAAGTAATTTGACTTGTACGGTTGTATGAAAAATAGTTTCATTAAGGGGGGGTGATTGATCATTTGTTTTAAGTACTTATATCTTGACTAGACATTGAAAATTTAAATTCAGTGTAAAATACAATTTTAAGGTAATGTTTTTGCAAGATACATATATACATAACTTTTTTTTTGAGTTTTGATAGGTAGGCCCAGACGTGGGCGAAGAACGAAATGATTTTATTGTAAAAAAAAGCGTGGGGTGCATGGTATCAGTACCTAGTTATAAATATTTTATGAATAGAAGGGCTATTTTAATAATATCCTAAAAAGCAGTCCACGCTTTTTTTACAATAAAATCATTCTTTCTTACACCATTTTTAATTCAAATTTATTAAAATTTATTTTCTATTTTTTAGTTGGATATTCTATAAAAGGGTATTTTGTTAGTTTTTTTAAACTATTATTTTATTAATATAAATGAAATGAGGTGTTTTGGACAAAAAACTGAAGTCGAAATATTTTTCTTAAAACAAACTGATAATCCACTCCACGGTAGTTATATCATATATAATTGACATCTTGTATTTTTATTTTACAGTAATGGTTACTATTTATTAATATGAATTTGTTCGACATTTATTACGTTAATATAATAAAATTGTTATATTCACTGTTTGTTAACTTTAGATTGATCCGAACGACAGTTAATAGAAAAAAGGTTTTTTTGTTCAACAATTTTCGATTATCGATCTTTTTTTTTGAACACAACTTAACATTGGCGACTGTCCCGCGTATCGTGCTACATTTGACGGACTATACGCTCACATCGCGCCATAGATGCACTCGCAATATGAACATATATTTTCTTCAAAGAAACTTTTGTTTCTAGTTTTATTTGGGGATGCAACTTTTCGACGTATGAAATGACTGGAAACTATTAAAACGAATCGCGAAAATATTTAGCTGATATTTTAAAAATTCTGAACAATGACGTCACTTCCCGAACATTGCTTCGCAGAATCTACCACCGGATCTGAATCGCGACCCTCTACGATGATCCGGTAAGAAACCCTGAGCTAACTATTTATTATGATTTACATTTGAATGAGGACGTCAAAAGTATTATTCGAAGCCTATATAATACTGATAAATTGTATAATAATGTTATCGTGGTCATCGGACGCCCGAGAATGTGATGTCCGTCTACGTTTGAATATTGTTAAGTTAAAACTCTATTTAACACTTAGGAACACTTTACAATTCGTTCTTCCGCTTCGCTTCAGGTGATCCGTTCGCTGTTTCGCTTCGACTAGATCCGATTTCTAACTGCCTACTTTTTTTTTCCTACTTAAGCTGATAGCCTTGAGAGGCTACATCAGCGTCGCCTTAACTAGTCCTTCGTGTCGTCTCTGCAACGCTTTTATAGTCGACGCTACAACTCTACAATTATCGAGAACATTCCCGATAGGACGAGTAGTTCCGATATGTGTTTCCGCTATTTGATAATAGATGGCTTTACAGTTCTCGAGCATTTTTGATATCACTATATAGTTCTTTTGATATTCGTTTCTGCTATTCGACGACAGATGGCGTTACTCTTATCCGCGTAACAATATTAAATACCGTGAAATTTTGTAAAAACATGCTTTCTCGACACCCTTTTTTTTGCCCTTGTAGGCAGACGAGCATACGGCCCACCTGATGGTGAGTGGTTACCGCCGCCCATGGACTTCAGCAATACCAGGGGCAGAGCCAAGCCGCTGCCTACACCTATTGTACTTTTCGCGCAGTAAGAACCAATACTATCTTGAGGTCTGGCAGTTAGACTAAGGTTATCATTTCCAAGATAATAGGATCGCTGGTATCAGAACATCTTGTGTTTTAATGTTAGAGTATTGTCTGACTTCAGCACCTCGCGTACCACGCGTGCAATTAACTTTTCTTTAGCCAATATTCAATTATATTTATTTTTAGTATTTTTTTTAGGAATAATTAAAAATAGGTATTATTTAATGTTTGTTCGACTAAGCTCTAGTACTGTTAGTAATCGTCAGAGATCTCTGTAATGAAATTTTATTTAGACGAAATACGCATCTTCCAGTTGTATTTTTAAAGATTGTTGTTAAGATTACCGTGTCTTGCGGTTCTGTTTGCTTAGTGCGAGTGTTATATTTTACAAATTTGTATGGAGTTTGAACGTTTGCCTACGTTTGCCGCTAGGGGCGCTGTTCCAACTCCATACAAGTTTGAGTTAACTTTTACGCTATCGACAACGTTAAAAAACTCGTACTAAGCACCCAGACACGATGTCAGTCTTATGATCAAACGAGCTGGCGACCTGTCCGACTGGGCGCGCTCAGATGTTTTTTTTTTTTGTCACAAATAAGTTAGTACTGAAATTGAAGAAGCAAAATTTTAGAAAATTAAAAGATTCGCTTTCTTCCGTTTTGAACAAAATAATTGTCTATGAAGTTGATGTATAAATAATACCTAAGCAGTTAAAAAGAAAGAAATGCATTTATTTAGTTTGAGTTGAAATATATATATAGCAATACTTATTATGGCCGATTACTAATTAAGTGAACATTTTTACTGCGAGATAATTAATAAAACTTTTTCGTTAGTTGAGAATCACATAGAGAAATTGATTACAGAGCCATCTAGCAATTTTTATTGGAAACAAAAATACGAGCTACATTTTTAACTAACAAAAAAACATTGCTTCTTTTTTGTCTTCCGCGAACAATAATGCCAACGGTAAATAACATTAAATAATTAAAAAAAAAATGTCCGAAACATTATGAAAAAAACGGAACTGATTTTATTTAACGGTAGGGAAACATTATGCTGGATTTAACTGGATTTTAATCTTAGGCTGGATTACTAATAACTTTAGATTATTATTGTCAATTCCAATTAAACTATATACCAGTATTGGTAAACGTTACATAAATTATGAAAACAAATACATTAAATAGACATAATATTACAATTTTAAAAGGGTGACTAATTAATTAATTTCTAGTTGCGTATAAAATTTATGGGTATTGTTTAAATTGTTTTATCAATTAAGCGTATCTCACATACTTTCGTCGTTATAAAAGATTCAAATTATATATTATTATGACAATTTTTAGGTAAAAATTTTTCGATGTATCTACCACCAAGTCTTCGTAGTTCACGTACTAAAAATGACCTGCCCCAATTAGATGCCTTAATGGCATAAATATTAACATGCGTGTGTATAGACGCTGACGCTAGATATGTATCCACGTAATTAAATAAATAAATAAATATTTACTAACAATCACGCCACGTTAACTGGTCCCGTTATAAGTTCGTAAAGAACTTGTGTTACAGGTACCAGATAACGGAAATAAATGTAAGATTTTTATTATACACATACATATATTTAATAGACATCCATAACCCTGGAAAAGACATTTATATTTATCATACAAATATCTTCCTTTGGCGGGATTCGAACCCGCGACCCCCTTGTGTAGTGACCATGTCACTTACCACTACACGAGACGGCCGTTAATTGTATATTTAGTGTTAGGAGGCCACGCACCGTCTCGCGTGAGGATTCACTTAACACGTTGACTTTCTTCCTACCTATTCTAGTAACCTCAAGGGGTTATTCTAGATTCACCGAACTAGTAGGTGAGGTCACGGGGCTCAAAGCGGAGTGTTGCTAACACTGGCCCTAGCAAGAGCAGAGCTTCGCAGAATCTACCACCGGATCGGAGTCGCGACCCACTGAGAAGATCCGGCGAGAAACTCAGTGGGCTGCGTCTATGAGTTAATTTACTAAGGACGGTGACCGCTGCTTGAGGTCACGTTGACTGCATTAGGCGCTTTGAAAAGGCCCATATGCGACTGTTCTAGACAGAACAGAACAGTGTGCTTAGTGCGAGGTTTTTAACGTTCTCGATAGCGTAAAAGTTAACTCATATTTGTACGGGATGGGATCGTGTGCCTACGTTTGCCGTTAGGGGCGCTGTTCCAAGTGTTTACAAAATTGGGCTAACTCTTACGCTATCGAGAAAGTTAAAAAACTCGCACTAAGCACACAGAACAGAACAGAGATAGACATAGTGCGCCACGTAGGACACCGGTGACCTACACGGCAGTCAAGGTGTTAACTTAACCCAAAAAATATTCGTCCAAGATAAACGAATAAAATTCACAATAACAAAATCATTTTGTAAAAGGTAAGTGAAACTCTTTACAGAAAACGTTGTTGCAAGTACATATTGATGACAGTTTAAATTTTAAATGACACATGTCATTTTTCGTAATAAAATACTAAAAAGTCAATTTTTTTTTTAAATATTTCTCTGTCAAAAACAATTTGCGTGAATACGTATCTATTAGCACGTAACTACTGTATGCATTAAACTATTTGTAACTAACTGATGATACTGTAATTGTTTGTAAAATGTACAATTTTACTGTGTTTTTCTTCTATATATGTCCATAATGTTGTAATGTAATATTTATATATGTTCATAATATTCCATAATGATTATTCCAATAAAATTATTTACTTTCAATATTTTATGTTGGTTTTATTTGTCGATGCCTCGATAGTGGCCATAAGTTAACTGGAGCTTGTCGTAAATGGTAATATCCATTACAAGGCTTATGTTTAGTTTTATTCACATTGAAGACTAGCCTTTCGGTTTCAGAAACTACCAGTTTAAGACACGTACTGGTAAGCAGCGGTTTGGCTCTGCCCCTGGCATTGCTGAAGTCCACGGGCGACGGTAACCACGCACTATCAGGTGGGCCGTATGATTGTCGGCTTACAAGGGCAATAAAAAAAATTTACTAGTCCAATTGGGAGTCAGTTTGAAGAGTGACTGTAACACTACTTTTACCTATTAATTTCGCGATTTATTTTCATAAGACTATTCTATACGTTTTGATTACCTTTTTTTCCTGCTTCAGCTGTTAACCTAAGCTGGGTTATGCCAGCGTAACCGCACGAGTTGATTGCCAAGTTCAGTAGCTGACAGGGGATTCTCTATTGCCTCAAATGAAGACAAACATCTCATCCGATGCTTTAGGGCAGGGATTCCCACACTTATTTTGTCTACTGCCTACTTTAAGAATAAATTATTTTTTAGCGCCCCCATTTTTTCACCTACTTAAAAACCACTATAGCGGTAGTTCAGTCAGTGTCTAAGAGTCCCCCTAGATGAAATTACAAATCGCTTTCCAAGCCTCTACACAACGCCCCCATTTTCTTTCTGGGTCTCTTACCGCCCCCCTTTAGGCCTGCAGCGCCCACAAA